AGGCAAGGACTGTGCTTATTTTGTTCAAGGTTGTATTTCTCACTCCAAGTACAGTTCCATGGCACAAAACAAGTGCTCAGTCCTTACTTGCTGAATCAATGAATCAGCGAATCCCTAAAGGTGGAAGAGAAATTGTTCTGGAAAAGTGCTGTTAAAGTGGATCAAGAACACATGAGAGATAATTTAGCTAATTTCCTGGAGCATAAAAACTGCTGATTACTTTTCTGACATTTTCTAACCTATGATATATGTTCCCTGATCTGTGACTGAAAATCAACATTTATAGTCACATCTACAGACCACAAGGTGAAGTGAATATTTAACAAGTTCACAGATAAATATCTGCAAGTAAACTGGATAATGCAGAACAGGGCAGCATTAGTTTGTACCGAATTATATACATTCGTTATACTAACCAAGATAACTTGATAAATACATCTCTACCATATTCATAAATGTGGCACATAATTGGGAATCCAATTTGAAACAAGTAACTCAAATGAACAATTAATGAGTGTATGAAAAACAAACAAAATATTAATGAAAATAGCATACCTAACATTTCAGTGCAATGACTTCGGGTTTTGCTCATAACTCATACCGCCATCAAGATAAATTACACTCATGGACCAAATAAAGCTTTTATCTTATGGCCAGCATGAAGGTAAATTATGTGGGTTTTTCAATGTCTGCTATGATCCATAGTGGCCAATGAAATAGAGCAAACACAATACATGGAATTTATTGCTGGTGGTCATTTTTATTGCACTCTCACTCTGCACTGAGTTCTCTGAATCATTTATTTGGCTTGCACCAGAAACTCCAATCTGGAATATAGTTTAGTTCTTTATGAACCAAATACCAAATCCACTCTAAAAGAAAAAGGAAAAAGAAAAAAGCAATTCCTTGCTAGATATGCCTCCATACCTTTTCAGCATTTGGCTAGCAGCCAGTGGGCCAACAAATACTTTCTGTACTTTTCTAGGGGTGGGGAGGATAGGGTGAAGTGAAAACAGGAAAGGGAGCCAACAGAAAAATAAGAGTAGGAGCAGCAGAAGTCTGGTGCTTCTGGAAACTGTCTAGAGATGGAGAATCCTAAAAAATCTGCCTAAATGATCTAATCTTTTCCAGGTTCCTATTAAAATCAGGTCATTTGAGATGAAATTAAAGTAGCATTCATCTACTTGCCCACTTCTTAAATATATAAATGCATGATGACTTCAAGTCTTACCCAAAGGCTACACACAAGATTAAACTAGAATAGAGTATGTCAAGCATCTGATAAATATTCAATAGACATTAGTTTTGGATGTTTTTTAATGCAGACATTACTGGGTAGGTCCAGCTTGGTTTTCTGAGTCATAACATGCAGAGGATTTTGTTGTTGTAGTTGTTTTTGTGTTTTGGGGAGGTGGGGGGGGTGGGGGTTACATTCACAGTTCTTTGTTTTCCTCTTGTATAATTAACCTGGGTCTATAGCTCAAAGCCTAAATCCATCAATCTGAGAAAATCAAGACTTTTAACGAAAATTCAACCATGTGCCTTCTTTTTCTATTACTTCTGTATGATATTCAGCAATCCTCCCATCACAACACTTTCACTGACTATGCCACCGAAAAATAGGTACTCCAACTTTATTCCCAATCTTTCTGATGGTATTGTTTTCTATCTTGTATTATCTTCCAAAAAAGATCACTTTCTATCACATATTTATTTATGACTTTTTATTATCTCTATTATTTGACTGTACAATGCTTTAGGTTCATTATATTTCTCAAAATGTAGACACTTAACAGCTTTTAAAATAATGTTTATTGACTTTTGTGATTATATAAAAAGGTACATGTTCATTGTCCAACATTTTGAAAATACAGAAAAGAATAAAAGATGAAATAAATAATACTTACTCACCCTCCCAAGGGAAAAAAGCACTGCCCCATTTTTTGCCCTTTCAGCCCTTTCCCTAAGTAGATCTTTTTCTTTTTTAACATAGTTGAGTGTATACTGTAGATATGGTTCTCTATCATATTTTTCCCCATTTAGCAATAATTGGTAACACATTTCCACAGCTAAAATTCCTCATAAATATCTTTTTAAAATGTCTGCATAAGTTGTATCTTTTGTTAATATCATAATTTAACTGTTTCCCTGTTGTTGGGCATTTAAGTTATTAATGATATTTGACTTTTCTAAACCAAGCTATTCTGAACATCTCTGAACATTAACTTTTAAAATATTTCTCAGAGGTTCCTTTGGATAGATTCCTAGAAGTGGAATTACTGGATCAAAGGGTAGGATCCTTATTAAGGCTTTTCATACATTCAGCCAAATGTGCTTTTCAAAAAGGTTAGAATAATTGTGCACCCCTGTTAGCATTTGAGAGTATCTGCTCCACTGCACATAGCTGATGTGGAGAATTAGAATTTTAAAAAATCTATGTTAATTTGAGAACTGAAAAAATGATACCTTACTGTTGTTTCAATTTTTATTTCTTTGATTTGTAGAAAGAATGCATTTTCATATATCTATTAGCCATTTAGTTTTCTTTTCTATGGATAGTCTGTTTGTGTCTTTTGCCCGTTTTCCTGCTAGAGTATATGTCAGTTTTCTATTGATGCATAACAAATTTCCACTAACAGTAGCTTAAAATAACACCCATTTATTATCTCACAATTCTGAAGGTCAGAAATATGGGTGGGCTTAGCTAGATTCTCTGCTTAGGGTCTTTCTCATAAGGCTGAAATCAAGGTGTTGGCCAAGCTGGGCTCTTATCTAGAAACTCTGGTAAAGAACCCAGTTCCAAATTCATTCAGGTTGTTGACAGAATCCACTTCCTTGTGGCCTTACCTCTGAAGTTCCCATTTCTATGCTGGTTTTTAGCCAGGGGTCACCCTCCGCAACTCTAGACCTCCAGCATTCTTCAAGGTTGCATGAATTCCTTTTCAACTGTCCCCTTCTATCTTCAAAGCAACAACAGTATGTTGAATACTTCTCATGCTTCAAATCTCTCTGATTTCCCAGCCAGAGAAAGCTCTCCACTTTTATGGGTCCCTGTGATTAGATTAGTACCACCCAGATAATCTCCCCATTTCAAATTCAACTGTGCCATATAACATAACATAATCAAGGGAATGGTATCATATGCACAGGTTCCAGGGATTAGGGCAAGCCGTCTTGGTGGAGGGGCAGTTTTAAAAGTCTGCCTGTCACAGAGTCTTAGGTGTCATTTCTTATAATTTATTCATGCACTTTATGACATCTCGATCGCATGAATCTACTAACAAATGCATCTTAATGAGGACTGCCAGAAGCTGCATTTTCACAATGGCAAAGGCATCTGTGGATGGGGCTGCTGTGTGCTGATAAAGACTTAGAATACATCACTTTGCTAACACCAGTATTTTTTTAATTGTGGTAAAATACACAACATAAAGCTTATCCTCTTAATCATTTTTAAGTGTACAGTTCAGTAGTGTTAAGTACATTCACAATGTTGTCCAGCCAATCTCCAGAACTCTTTTCATCTTGCCAAACTCTATACACATTAAACAAGTCCCCACTCCCTCCCTCCTCTAAGCCCCTGGTAGTCATGATTCTACTTTCAACACTGGTATATTTTTATTTTATGTATTTATTAACAAATATGTATGTAGCAATTACTATATGGTAGGTACTGTTCTAAGCACTTTAAAAATATTAACTTGTTTAATCCTCATAAAAACCCTAATGAGGTTAGTACTGTTATAATTCCCATTCTACAGATTAGGAAACATAGCAAGGCTAAGTAAACTGCCCAAGGTTACACAATTAGGAATTTACCAAGCAGGAATCCAAACCGAGGTAGTCTGGCTTTATAATTCTTGCTACGAACCATTACATCATGAAAACATTCACTGTAATAACAAGTCACCAGGTGTTAATATTATTTCTTTGATGTGCATGATTTTCAAATACTTCTCTAAGTGCAGTTTAACCTAATGTTTGTCTCCTAACTAAAAATTAGACTATGTGCCCAAAGTGACTATCTGTATAGCCAAGTTTTAAGGCATTTTCTTGAAATTAATGAAACAAAAACTGCCTTGTATTTTATTTCATGTACACCAATTATAACTTACATGTGGTATTTTACAATAAAATATAAATACGAATCACAAATCACTATGGTTACTGAAATTAAAAAGAAAGAAAGAAAAAAATACAGGTGTTTCTCTCTAGCTCCTTCCAAGAAGGAAAAAAGAAAAGGAGGGGAAAATCTTCCAAATAAGTTTACGACATCATGCAGGGTTCAATCTCAGTTTAACTTGGTAAATATAACTTGTCTTGCTTTGCAAGCTATATATACAGACCAGTCTCAATTTGTCTTCCAATTGTATATCTCAGTAGAAATTTATTTTATTTACGGAGTGTGAGATTTTCTTATCTTGATTTTTTTTAGCTTGATAATCCTTTTATACAAGACCAAAATTATTTTATTTACGGAGTGAGTGTGAGATTTTCTTATCTTGATTTTTTTTAGCTTGATAATCCTTTTATACAAGACCAAACCATGCTTGTCATCAGTCGTGTGGTGTCATGTACCATACATTAAAAATGGGCAGAGTCGACAGAAAGAACAATAGTCTGTTTCTCCGGGAGCCCCAGCATGATGTGGGTTAAAAGCTCTGCTGAGGTTTGGTTTCTATGACCCCCTGGGAAGGGCGCACGGGGACGGGGCGGGGGGTTGGGGGAGGGAGTAAGACTAAAAACAACGCACCCAACAGTAACCTACTTCGACTACTTTCTACTCGTATTAATATACCTGATTCACAAAGATAAGCAGACACCGCATCATGTCATCTCTCCTCACCCATTCCCCATTGCGATGCAGCGCAGTCTTCAGCACGACATGAAAACCAGACCGGGGAAGAAACAGCAGCATCACCGCTGCCCTAGAGAGCTTCTGTCACCCCCACCCCGCCCCCACCGGCCGGCCAGGCACAAGGAAGGGGGCAGATGCTCACCCGGTCGCGGCTGCTGCTCTCCCTTCACCTGCGGAGCCTGCGGTCTGCTGCTGGTGGCGCTCGGCCTCGGCAGCCCGCCCGCCTCCCGGTGACAGCACGGCCGGCCGCCGACCATCCCGGCCCGGCTCTGTTTACAAGCGGCTTCTCGCGGTCCCACGCTTAAAAGCTTCCGCCCGGCAGCCCCGGCAGCCAGACCCGGACACACAAGGTTCCAGGCCGCGAGGACAGGACTTTCCTGCTCGAGGGACCGAGCGGCCAGGCCGGGCCTGACCGCACCCGCCAGGCCTCCTTACCTCATTACTTTCATATACACACTTTTTGTCATACACACACTGTCAAAGCAATGGCGTGTGCCACTGAGCCTCCTCACGGCTACTCTCAACGCTAAAATGGATGGCTGCGGCTGGAAAATTTCACCTGGAACATGCCCAGACGGGGCCGGTTATAAGCAGCTCCCTTGCCTAAGAGAAAAGTTCTTTCCGTAAATAGGCTATTGTTAGAATCTGGAGACTGCTTCTCATTTCAGGCTTGGAGCTGTGATGAAAATCCGTTCTCACTGCCCTTTCTTGTTGCATCCCGCAGGTTGAAAGTGAGTGGTTTTGAGGGGAGGTCTTCAACCCCACTGTGGACTCTCAGCAACACAGAAAGTGTGCGCGTGTGTGTGTGCGCGTGTACGTGTACGTGTGCGCGCGTGTGCGTGTGCATGTGCGCGCGTGTGTGCGTGTATGTGTGCGTGTGCGTGTATGTGTGCGTGTGTGTGCATGTGCGTGTGCGTGTGTGTATATGTGCGTGTGTATGTGTGTGCGTGCATGTGCGTGCGTGTGTCTGCATGTGCGTGTGTGTGAAAGCCCGCGTGTGGGCAGGGTGCTTCTTAGTGAGACCCCGACNTTTGCAAGCTATATATACAGACCAGTCTCAATTTGTCTTCCAATTGTATATCTCAGTAGAAAATTATTTTATTTACGGAGTGAGTGTGAGATTTTCTTATCTTGATTTTTTTTAGCTTGATAATCCTTTTATACAAGACCAAACCATGCTTGTCATCAGTCGTGTGGTGTCATGTACCATACATTAAAAATGGGCAGAGTCGACAGAAAGAACAATAGTCTGTTTCTCCGGGAGCCCCAGCATGATGTGGGTTAAAAGCTCTGCTGAGGTTTGGTTTCTATGACCCCCTGGGAAGGGCGCACGGGGACGGGGCGGGGGGTTGGGGGAGGGAGTAAGACTAAAAACAACGCACCCAACAGTAACCTACTTCGACTACTTTCTACTCGTATTAATATACCTGATTCACAAAGATAAGCAGACACCGCATCATGTCATCTCTCCTCACCCATTCCCCATTGCGATGCAGCGCAGTCTTCAGCACGACATGAAAACCAGACCGGGGAAGAAACAGCAGCATCACCGCTGCCCTAGAGAGCTTCTGTCACCCCCACCCCGCCCCCACCGGCCGGCCAGGCACAAGGAAGGGGGCAGATGCTCACCCGGTCGCGGCTGCTGCTCTCCCTTCACCTGCGGAGCCTGCGGTCTGCTGCTGGTGGCGCTCGGCCTCGGCAGCCCGCCCGCCTCCCGGTGACAGCACGGCCGGCCGCCGACCATCCCGGCCCGGCTCTGTTTACAAGCGGCTTCTCGCGGTCCCACGCTTAAAAGCTTCCGCCCGGCAGCCCCGGCAGCCAGACCCGGACACACAAGGTTCCAGGCCGCGAGGACAGGACTTTCCTGCTCGAGGGACCGAGCGGCCAGGCCGGGCCTGACCGCACCCGCCAGGCCTCCTTACCTCATTACTTTCATATACACACTTTTTGTCATACACACACTGTCAAAGCAATGGCGTGTGCCACTGAGCCTCCTCACGGCTACTCTCAACGCTAAAATGGATGGCTGCGGCTGGAAAATTTCACCTGGAACATGCCCAGACGGGGCCGGTTATAAGCAGCTCCCTTGCCTAAGAGAAAAGTTCTTTCCGTAAATAGGCTATTGTTAGAATCTGGAGACTGCTTCTCATTTCAGGCTTGGAGCTGTGATGAAAATCCGTTCTCACTGCCCTTTCTTGTTGCATCCCGCAGGTTGAAAGTGAGTGGTTTTGAGGGGAGGTCTTCAACCCCACTGTGGACTCTCAGCAACACAGAAAGTGTGCGCGTGTGTGTGTGCGCGTGTACGTGTACGTGTGCGCGCGTGTGCGTGTGCATGTGCGCGTGTGTGTGCGTGTATGTGTGCATGTGCGTGTATGTGTGCGTGTGTGTGCGTGTGCGTGTGTGTATATGTGCGTGTGTATGTGTGTGCGTGCATGTGCGTGTGTGTGAAAGCCCGCGTGTGGGCAGGGTGCTTCTTAGTGAGACCCCGACACCTTATCCTGCAGTGACTTTGGCCACTTTGCAAGAATATGCTGGTCTAGTTGGATAGACCTTCCATGCAGTTTCCCGTCTTATTTTCTATCATAGCACACTTCTTAGCTATTTTCTCAATTTATAATTACACCAGCTCCACCCCAGTCTCACCTACAAACTCTCTGAGGTTAGGAACATTTTGGTTTCACTCACCACCATGTCATAGGCACCTAGCACAGTGCCTGATACATATATATGTTTGAATGAATGAATAAAGGAATGTAAAAAGAAACTGCCAGAGAAGTCAGAGAAAGCAATATCACAAAAATCTAAAATTCTTATTCCTAACGCCCCTCCCCCCAAGATTAATAAGCAAATCTTTAACCATTGAGTTTTATTTTTTAATCTTTGGTTCATGTTCAGAGTTTAAATAAGCTTTTCAAAAACACACACACAAACAAAAAGCCTGCAATTTGAGGTAGGTTTTTTTGTTGTTGTTACCTAAACTTGCCTCACAACTTTGTACTTTCTTTTTTGCCTCACAACTTCTTACACATGGTTCCCTCTGATGAGATCTCTTGCCCCTATTCTATTCCCTTCGCCCGGCTAACTTCTCCTTGCTCTTTAAGAAGCCGATGACATCACACCTTTCCTGGAAACCTTCCCTGACGGAGGAATCTGCTCCTTTTCTGCAGTCCTAGAGGATCTCCTGTGTTCCTCTATAAATGCATTCATCACATTGTACCTCATTCATCTATAGTCTCATCAGTCTTCTGTTAGATTAGTGGTTCTCAAAATTCAGCATGTAACACAATGCTTCTCCAACTTTAATGGGTGGGGAGCCTGTTAAAATGCAGATTCTGATTCATTAGGCCTGGGATGGGCCTCTGTACCTGTAATGAACTCTCAGGTGGAGCCACATTTTGGATGTCAAGGTTCTTGATTGCTGGTTCCTGAATTCTGTGATTTTAGCAAGTGCCTCAAAGTACTTCTGCTGTAGGTGATCTGTGGACCACCCTTTGAGAAAAACTATACCAGTCTGTGACATCTGAGGACAGGGCCCATGCCTTGTCATTGTTTTTTCACTGTGCATTAAGTACAAGTTCTGGCACATAAAATGCATTAAAAAGGCACGTTTATGGAATGACGGGATTTATTCACAATCACTGATACAGAACCTCAGCACCAGAATTAAGGGGGCAATCCCAGAAAAGGGATGAAAGGTTTAGGGATGAGAATAATCTGAGCTGGACACCTACTGGCTGGTGGGTCTCTATCAACTGAAGCATTTTGCTTCTATAAATTTAAAATATTTAAATTTATGTCTCCATTCAAAAGGCTGTCTGCTAACAGCAGCCCCACCATCTTTTTTTTTTTTTTTTTAAATAGGCTATTTTTTAGAGAAGTTTTAGGTCCACAGCAAAATTGAATGGAAAGTACAGAGAGTTCTCACACACTCCCTGCCACCACACACGTACAATCGCCCTCTCTATCAACATCCTGCACCAGAGTGGTACATTTGTTACAATCCGTGAACCCATATTGACACATCATTATCAACCAAAGTTCATAGTTTATATTAGAGCACCAACTTTTTAATTACTTTATACAGTGACATTCAGGAAAGCCTTTCTTTGAATAATCAGAATAATTTTAACAGAATAAAAAGAGACTTAAAAGATGATCTAGTCCAACCATTATCTATAGCTACTTTCTTACTCCAAAACTTTTAATGACCTCGTATTGGCAGAAGGGGTTCAAACTCTGTAACCTGACCCTCTACCTTATTGGCCCATTCTACATGTCGGGGACATATTTTTTTTTTCTCTGTTCAACACTCCTACTTCCTTCAGGGAACTTCCCCTACCTCTAAGTCACAGGGTAAGCATGTGATCAATGCTAGACCAATTCTGCTACCCATGGTACCTTAGTCTCCTGGTCACAGTGGATGATCCAGGGATGGGCATGTGATCCAGCCAATCAGAGTGCTTCCCTGGAATTTTCCTTTATTGAGGTATCATTAACAAATAAAAGTTTGCCCCATTATTTTCCCTTCTGCATTCTTTGAAGGACTGGGACCTTATCTTACTCATCTTTGCATTTTCTACAACACTTCATGGTACCTAGTAAATGATCTCAATAAATGCTTGTTAAAACAAAGTGAAATACCAAATAACAGGCAAGAAGATGCCATTATTATATCCCTTCATTAGATTTTTTCCTTTTAGCCTTCATTTACAAAAGTAATGCTCAAGCCAGATCCAATAAAGCAATGCTGTCTTCCACTTGATAAAACAAATGTTTCATCAAAAAGTGTTTTAAATTTAATCAGAAAAATTTTGGTGCTATTTATAGCTGCTTAAAGTTTGCAAGCCAAGTATACCTTGCTTATCTCCCAAATATGCCTAAGTAAAGATGATTGGGATATTCATTTAGAATAATCTAATATAATTAGTTTGTCTTCTTAGGTCAATTAAAAGCATTTGAGATGTAGAATATTAAAGTCACAAATGGAATCATTTGTTGAAATTATAAACGAACCTGCTATTCAGCTGGTAGACACCCACAAAACCATAACCATTGTTAAAATACTGAAACAGTTCCAGGTTGGTTACTAGCCTCTGTTTCTAAGCTTCCTAAGTGTCCCAAAGTCTCTCTACAAGGAACTCCCCACATCCTAAAATCCACTGCCCAAAAAATTAATACCTGAGCCTAATTTGCTGGGATAGTGGGTATCTT